TGTGGTTTAACCCACAGCGCCACCCACGTCCCTATTCACTCATTATAGAGAGGAGCTAATTGCCATCTCTTTTTGTTTTAGTGGTACAGTTTGGTATCACCAGGAACCTTGGGCAGGTCATGGCTCAACTCTAACTAACTTTAGATCGCTTATAACCAAGTTAAAAATACTTTGGGGGACTCCACTTTCAATATCCCTTCACTGAAAGAACTGATTATTTATTCTCATGCTCTACTTCCTCTTACTCTTCCCCATCCTCAATAGACCTCACATCTTGTTCCACAACTGCTAAGCTTACTCATGAATTTGGTGAAGTGCTTTGCTGAAGCTTTTTGAAAGTCCAAGTACATTGTAGGCTTATCTACACTTCTGTTTGTCGCGCCCCTTTCCCCCAAGAAAATCTCGTGGTTTGGTGCTGAATCAGACCAAATGGCAATGGGGTTTTTCTGCGGATTGCCATTTGTTCTGATTTATTGCTAAAGAGTGGGTTTTCTAGGGGAAATCAGTGGGGCAAAGGCAAAACCACTTAGACTTGTGCTTTCTAGGCATGGGACAAGTGGAAGTGTGGATGAGCCCTTTGTCAACTGGAACCTTAACTAAGGATTTCACAAGTGTTGGTTACTTAACAGATGCAGCTGCCTTGCGGGGCTCTAAGCACAGGCCTGCAGCAGGATTTCTCCTAATCTAAGAGAAGAAAGGGAGTCTGAAGGTTGGATAGCACACAGTTGATTCATTGTGCCTGCCTAATTTTACCTCTTCATCTGAGTTCTGTTCCATATATATATATATATATATATATATATATATTACTATTCTCTACTATGATGCAATCTTGGGAACTAGCTGTTAAACAGATAGGTAAGCTAAGCCCTTCTGATCAATGGTGTTAGCCCTGCCTTTAGTATTAGAAAGCTGGCAACAGCTGCTGATTTCCTTCCCGACATCTCACAGGTCAATACCACCTGCCTAAGGTCCCTCCTGAGAAATGCCCCACGTTGTCTTTGGTGGACCAGCTTATCCCACCGCAGAGAAGAATTAATTATGCACATCACAGATTTGCCACCACAGCTAGCCATCACGGCAGGGTATCCACGACTCTCTCTTTCATCCGGAATCTTGCAACTTCAAGGGCTTCTTAAAATGGCAAAATTGTAATTGACTTATCCTGGAACTGGCAAGTAGGTTTAATTTGACTTTGTGAAAAGAGAGAGTCTATGTTCCTTGCACTCAGAGTTGTTGCAGGGGAAACATGTTTATTAATTAATTAAACAACCATGTTCATGACCCCTCAAACAAATGATGAAAAAACAAAAAAGTTCCAGGGCCTTGGCTCTCTGCCGTTGTGCAATTAAGCATATCCACCTTCCTACCTGAGTGCTAGTCAGACCCCAAAGTCACAGAAAGGCTATGGGGACAGACCACAACTCAGTAGTTTGCATGCAAAAGCTCCCAACATTTGCAGGCAGGCTGGGAAATACGGTATGCTTCTCTTAAATCCAGGAAAGCTACTGCTGCCCAATAGTCTCTCTCTCACGCATACATCCACATGCAGCTTCTTACTTTCCTATGGATGTGTGTGTGTGTGTGTGTGTGTGTGTGTGTGTGTAGGCAGTTTGCCAAAGACAAAAAAATAACTATCTCTAATTTTTTTTTTTAGTGGAGGTGACTCCAAAGATACTTGCCTAATGGAATGAGAAATTTGTGCTGCTGCTTTATTTAAAAGACAAATTGTTCTTCAACCCCTGTGGTAAAGTAGAACAGTGTTTATTGCTTCCTTCTGGCTTCTTGGCCACACTGCCATTTTTATTTATTTATTCTGTGTGTATGTATGTGTGTGTGAGAGAGTGAGAGCTCAGGAGAGCAATGGCAAATAACTTGAACTTCTAAGTGAATATGTGTTTATAATGCAGAATGTTTGTTGGGAACTTTCACAATAATATTTTTTTTTATAAAAGAAAGAAAGAAAAGAAAACTGTTATAAGAAGGAATAAGGGAGTTTTACAAAACTGTTGGAAAGCTGGGTTAATGCATACTAATGACACCCAATCCAGAATAATGAGGCAAGAGGTTTTTTTACTTTAATAATGTGAATAAGTGCAGCATTCCATTAGGAAGGGTGTTTTTTCCCCCAACCCCTAAAACGATGGCAATGAATTTGAGATTTTCCTTCTTTGGATCAGAAACAAATTCTTACAGGTTTCAGCATTGGGCCTCATGTGTCTGTGTAGTAGTTACGGTTGTTGTTGTTATAACAACATTAAGGTGCACAATATGAACAAATATATGTCAAATTAGCTGTTAATCCTTTTCCCAATCACCTCAGCACCCCACCATCTCTCATCTAACCACAGTCATTGAAAACATTCAACCCATTTATTTTTTTTTACTGTAAATATGAGAATCCTCCTTGTACCTTATCTAGAGTTGTTTTTCACTGTAACAGTTATTACCTATTAGATTCCTTCTAAACAGGCTCTTACTAGTCTCATGGTCAGGTCACATTATTGTTTACATGATACTGGCCTCACTCATAATGAGTTTTACAGAAATTACATGACACGTCCAGGATAGTTAACACTGGCATGGGAAACTTTTGAGTCACTGTGTCTTCCGGAACTTATGATTCTGGACTAGTATGGGAGTGATGCTCCCACAGTGGCAAGGAAACTTCAGAAGAGACCCTATGTTGTCCTCAAAGCAACCCAGGGGTCTTGTGTACTTCGAACCATCCTTTATGCTCAACTTGAGTGAGATAGCTCACCACACCTCTATTCTTCCAGCCTTCCTGAAACACAGTAGAAATATTCTGGAGGGCGTATTGTTCAACTAAGTGCTCTGTTGAGCCTGTACTGAAGGATCCTCTTACAAGCAGATAGGGAGAAGTGTTCAGAAATTTGGAATGCTGGGGTGCATCTCATCTGACAAAGGAACTGGTTTCCTGAAATGGGTGAGGGCAAGAGGTTCCTGGGATGCTGGAACTGTTTAAGATTACTTACAACATTTACCCTTCTGTAAATTTTCTAACAGAAGCAACAACAGAATGGCTAGTCAGTGTGGCTCACACCGGTTAAAATCTTTGCTTTCTGTTTCATCCCTCTCTTCTCCAAGCTATTTGCATAAAAGGAGAGCTTCTCTGAACTACTCAGGATGAGGGGGAATATGCAATTCTATGTCTGGGCCCTCTTCCTCCCTTTTCTTCTTCTGACGCTTTGAATACGACTTCCATACAGGTAGAAGTGGTTCACTTTGTGGGGTGGAGATGCTAGGCAAGCTTCCTGGCAGGTGGATCACTATTGCTTACCTGGAGAAAGAGAGGGAAGTGGGTGAATCTTCTGGGAGGACAGAACAGTATAAATACACCAGTGGTGCCAATCTGGCACTCCTCCCAATGTGGTTGCACTGTCCTGACTTTCCCACTGCTTTGCTAGTTCATTGTTGCATAGGATGCTGGGTTATTATCATTCTAGGCCCCCATCTAGTACACTTGAAATTTCGCATCACTTAACCAATGAAACTATTGCACACACTTTTCCCATTCTCCGAAAAATGCATAGTAGTGCAACGTCTGGTGTTATAAGGCTTCCTTCCTTCCTTCTCTTCCCCTCCGCCCACCCTTCTCCCTTTCTGTAGATCTGCAAAAACTGTCCAGCATCTTGCTGTTCAAAATCAGACATTTAACTGCAGTTAAATAATTCCTAAAAGATGAACAGAATGTATATTTGTTGTACTCTAAGATCTTAATTGCCAACTTTACATCACACTCTGATATAAGCCAGCAGAGGACAAGCCATGTGTACTTTTAAAAATACTGTAATCTTACTTCTACTGAAAAGAGGCACTCTCTAACCTTAAATGTCATAGACTTCCAAAAGAAGAGATTCACTGTTTTCCATAAGTAGAACTACCCCTACCATGCAATGGGTGGAGCAAGCTTGTCTGGGTGGCACCATGAGGAGAAGAATGGAATAGATGAAGGCAGAAATTGGTGTCTGAATGGTGCACCCAAATTGTCTAAGCTGTTGGCCCTACTGGCAGGAGGTGTGTGCTTATAGTGCCATTAGGCTTGTAATTCAGACAGCGGAATATTTTGGGCTGGCATTGCCTAGAGATGTAAGAAGGGATCGATTTCTGTTCTGCTGCATATTTGTTGCATGCAAGTGCTGTTTCTGTTCTATTGCAGTTTGGCTTCTGACAGAAGTGATGTTTGAACCTCACTTAGTCACATGTATTACATTATAAACCACCCCAGGTCTGCCAGGAATCTGTCCATAACCATCAGATTCTGGCAGGCTCACAGTATTCTCAGCCGGCTCCACCTAGCTAGCTATAAGTTATGACCACTTCCCATTTTTAAAGCCAGTGTTATCAACCATGGGCAGTAGGGCCTCAACCTGCTATGTTCCACAGTATAACAGGCTTGTTTTCCAAAGCTGAATTTCTGCTGGTTGACTTACAATCAAATCATTTTCTCTGCTTAACTTTTAATAAGTGTGATTCAGGCCCCCAATTGCCTGCCAGCTGTCTCTGAAGCATCCTAGGAAATACTTCTTTGAGCAGCACAGTGGAAACGGCACAGATGGCATCTCAGAAGCATGGCAGTACGTCCACCAGCCACGGCCTGGCACACACTAGGCCCATGCAAATGTCATGCAAATTGTGTGGGCTGTATATAAATATGTTATGCAAATCAGCAGTTTTCCCCTCCAACTCATGATACAATTCCAGGGTGACTCCTAGTGCTGAAAGATGAGCTTGCCAGGAAGCAAGTGGTGCAACCTAGTTAAACTTAAAGCCCTCACATTCAAAGGTGTGAGGAAAATAATATATACAAACTTTAATTTACTAGGTTACTGGGAGGTGGTGGAGGGAGGGTGATGCCATCAGACCCAGAATTATGTTGTCATTATGTATGCTGCAGAAACAACCACTGGTCCATCTAGTTTAGTATTGTCTACAGTGGCTTTCTAGGATTTTAGCCAGTGGTCTCTCCCAGGCCCACCTGGAGATGCCAGGGATTAAACCTTGGACCTTTTGCATGCAAGGCAGATGCTGTAGCACTGAGCTATGGCTTTTCCTCAGCTCCCAATGGAGTGGTCCAGAGCTTTAAGTAAAGGTTTTCCTCCACCCCAACAAGTGCAGATTCTGTCATCAACACTTATAGGAGATGCTAGGGACTTAACCTGGAGTTCCATGTCAGGGCACACTAAGGCTGAGCTCCTGAACCTGTTCAGTACACCATGTCTTCAGTTTGCCATGAACATTCACACATGAGATAAAAGAGCAGGACTTTCAACTCAGGCATGGAACAACCACTTATCATCCCCAGATGCTATTGTGCATGCCTGGTGTGAGCTAGTGAATTAATCAATGGTCCTACTCACATGCAATGCCTAATATGTAAAAGCTAGTGTTGTGGGAGAAATGTGATTCAGTTTACATTTCAAAGTGAGTCTGCCTGCTTCACATTTTCTGAAACAATATGCAAAACTGAAAAATAGCCCTCCTTCAAAATACACAATTTTGCAATGCAATGCAATGCAATCTTCAGCCAAGTAAATCGTACAAAAAATGTACATACAAAGGGAAAGTGTGCATAAAATGGAAATTAATCAGTGAATTTCTGAAAGATATATTTGCATGCCATTATGCCACATATACTTATATTTGCAAAGCAACATCCACCAATATAATGCATTTTGCATGGCATTTTGACTAATATATGGAAGCTAGCCACTAGTGGAAACATGTATCTGCTAAAGCAGAGTGTCCATTTGTTCAATAGAGCTCTTGCAGCTCAGTGTCCACTGCTTCTGACAAGGGATTGGATAACACCCAAATAGTTTGCCTTTCTCATTTGCTTTTCATATCTAAATGTTGCAACTCAGGCCAATCTCTGCTTTCATCTTCTTCCCCAGACCCCCAAAGTCTCTCCTATTTGAATTCAAAGCCATGAGAAATGAGGCACTTTGCGACAAATATTTTATATATCCAAATGATATTTTGTGGGACTCTGTAGCTCCCGCCTGCTGTGGCTCTGCCGCTCTCGGAGGAAGTCTGCCGTCGTTGCATGCCCGTCATCTTGATGAGGCTCCATTTTTCCGAACGGATAATTCCCTTCCCTTTTTGAGCCATCTAGGAAAACGTTTCCTTCCTGGAAAGGCTGCCTTTTTAAAAGTAGGATCTCTCTGCACTGAATCAAACAGGGGGAAAGTAGGTCAAGTAGCAGCAGGCCCTTCAGAGGAGGGGCTGTCTGTCTTGCATTTTTTCCTAGCTTCCTTACAGCAGATGCATTAGCATGGAAAAAAAGAAACTTTCAAAACCAAGACTGACAAGATTTGGATGGGCACAGAGTTGTTGCTGACATTCCTCATGGCTAAGTGTTCTGTGTAACTCAGAAGCCTGCCGTCATGGCACTCTGCTTCAGTGCCTTCCTTGTGCTTCTGCTTCTTCGGCTCAGAAGGTTCAGCTATTTTGGGAAGCCCTACAGTAAAATTGATTGAGAAACAGGCCCAGAGAATCTAACTTAACCCACAAAGAGATACATTTTCTAGGTCCTGGCCAGTGTCCAGTTTAAGTAATTGCATTTGGTTTCCCTATTATTACACCACAGCTTCAGCGGGATAGGTTGGGAACGATTTATGAATTTTTTAGACCTGCTGTGTAAATGTAACAAAGTTGATGTGAGTAGAAGATTTGTTTCCCCCTGGCTCTAGGCACCTGTTCAGATGACTAAATTGGAATGTGCCCAGCCTGACCCTTCTTTCACTTAATCTGGCATCCGCTCTACTTGCTGCTGCATTTATTCAGTGATGCTGGGAAGAAGCTTCCCTTAGGACTATGTAGCACAAAAGGTGCTGTAGGAGGAGCAGGGAGCTCAAGAGATTTTGACAGGGGGTGGCCCTGCCCTCCTGTCAAACCATGTGATGTCATGACGGCAGGTGGGCGCACTCCACCCATCTACCTGCCAAATTTGGCCGGTGAGGCCAATAATGTTCCCCCTCCTGTCTTCTGATATATACTTTTTTTAATACATTAGTTGGCTGGAGAACCGCATTGGAAAATTGTAGAAGTCTGAATGTGTGAAGAATGGTTGTGTTTCATTGTGCATATTGTCCTGAAAAGCACAAATTAAGTAAGCTGTCCTTGAAACACAAACAGAATCTCTCCCATATCCCTGCATAGGAACAACCCGTTCTGCTGAATCTCCTGTACTGCTCTTCATCCAAAGTTCTGCCTGGTTTGTGGAGTTCCCAAGTAGAGCTGTCCTTAAAGCTCTACCTTGTTCTTTTGCATCCCGCACCTAAGGTAAAGGTAAAGGTACCCCTGCCCGTACGGGCCAGTCTTGACAGACTCTAGGGTTGTGCGCTCATCTCACTCTATAGGCTGGGAGCCAGCGCTGTCCGCAAACACTTCCGGGTCACGTGGCCAGCGTGACAAGCTGCATCTGGCGAGCCAGCGCAGCACACGGAACGCCGTTTACGTTCCCGCTAGTAAGCGGTCCCTATTTATCTACTTGCACCCGGGGGCGCTTTCGAACTGCTAGGTTGGCAGTGGTCATATACAGTGGTGCCTCGCAAGACGAAATTAATTCGTTCCGCGAGTTTTGTCGTCTTGCGATTTTTTTCGTCTTGCGAAGCACGGTGTCGAAAAAGTTTTGGAAAAGCTTCAAAAATCACCAAAGTCTTTAAAAACCTCAAAAAAGGCTACCACACCACGTTCTATGAGTTGCTCCTCGAAGTCAAGTCGCAACTGTATTAACGGTGTTAAGAAAAAGGAAACAAACTTGCAAGACGTTTTCGTCTTGCGAAGCAAGCCCATAGCGAAAATCGTCTTGCGAAGCAGCTCAAAAAACAAAAAACCCTTTCATCTAGCGAGCATTCGTCTTGCGAGGTACCACTGTAATTTAGGCTGCAGCCCAGAGGTTCCCTCATGCTTGGCACAATGCATTCAAAGAGTTCTGAAAGGGATTGTGTTTTTCATTCACTTCATTTATATGGTATCTTTCTTACAAAGCATCCAAGGTGGTTTGCATTTTATAATAATGCCATGGCCACTTCCGGATGTTTATTGAGCATTCATCCAGATTTGTTTGCAGGAAGGCTAGATGTCACCAGCTTATTTAGGGATCATTCCTCCTGACTAGTTTGTGGGCAGGTTAAGCAGTGCTGCGTCACAGCAACTGCTATGGTTTCCACTGCATTTCCTGTCACTTTTATTATTGGAAAAAGTCTGGTCTTTTGGGGAGGCAGGTTTGTTTTGCAAGACCTCCAGATCAGGCATAGGCAAATTTGGCCCACCAAATGTTTTGGGACTACAACTCCCACCATCCCTAGCTAACAGGACCAGTGGTCAGGGATGGTGGGAGTTGTAGTCCCAAAATATATGGGGGGGCCGAGTTTGCCTATGGCTGCTCCAGATCAACTCTAATTCTGCAAGCTGTATGTGATTCTGTCCTGCCCCCAAAATAGCAGCAGTCTGGAAGCACCCCATGTTGCCTAACACAAAAGAAAGGAGGCCAGGAAAAGAAGAGGAAAATGTCCATATTAAGATTCCAATTATTTCAAACTGTTTTGCAACAAAGTTATGTAAAGATCAGGTGTGGCTGCTATTGATGGATGTGATTCTGGGAGTGGTAAAAGGTAAAGGGACCCTTGACCATTAGGTCCAGTTGTGGCTGACTCTGGGGTTGCAGCGCTCATCTCGCTTTATTGGCCGAGGGAGCCGGCATACAGCTTCTGGGTCATGTGGTCAGCATGACTAAGCCACTTCTGGTGAACTAGAGCAGCGCACGGAAACACTGTTTACCTTCCCGCCGGAGCGGTACCTATTTATTTACTTGCACTTTGATGTGCTTTCGAACTGCTAGGTTGGCAGGAGCAGGGACCGAGCAACAGGAGCTCACCCCGTCATGGGGATTCGAACCACCGACCTTCTGATCGGCAGGTCCTAGGCTCTGTGGTTTAACCCACAGCACCACCCGTGTCCCCTTCTGGGAGTGGAACCAAATGGCAACTGATCCCACCCAACCTGGCAGAGGAGATCTCATTGCTTCTCCTGCCTTGCAGATGCCACCAGTTAGAGTGGTAGATAACAAAGAATGTTCTGAGACAGCCATTCTGTAGCAATTTGCCTGTGATGGCTAAATAAGTGTGCACGTGTGTGAACTTGCCAGAAGTCTGCATGAATTCATGGACACATTCATGGAGGATAAGGCAGGCAGTGGCTATTAGCCAGGATGGCTATTCTCTGCTTTCATGGCCAGAGACTGAATACCAATTGCTGGAAACCACAAAAGGGGGGGGGGACTCTTGTGTTAATACCCTGCTTGGGACATCTGGTTGGCCACAGTGACAACAGGATGCTAGAACCAATGGGCCATTGGCCTGATCCAGTTGGCTGTTTTTTATGTTCACAAGAAGCCAGTAGGGCTGCCCTGGCCAGCTTATATAAGACTATCAATATTTCTTACATAAGGTTATCTATGGCTACCAGCGATGATGGTTGTGTATTGTATCTGAAACCCAGTTGCTGGGAGTCACAGGTAAGGAGAGTACAGTTCCACTCAGGTCCTGCTTGCAGGCTTCTCTCAAAGATTTATTTGGCCAGTATGAGAACAGGATGCTGGACTAGATGGGCTTTCTGCCTGCTCAGGCAGGGCTCGTCTTATGCTATTTGTTTGCTACATGTCACCCAAGGCTGACTCAGAAAGTTGGCACCCAGCTGGTATCTTTCTTTCCGATGCCCACACAGCTTTAATTTTCAGAGAAGGAGCAATTTCCCTGTGGCTTTGACTTTTCCTGGAGCACACACACAACATTCACCATTTGATGCAAAACCAGCAAGGGCATTTTTAAAGATGAAGTCTGCATTTATTTATTAAAAAAAAAGGTAGTTATTTTGAGGGGGGATGGAAAAAAGGGGAAATTGTACAGGTGTAGGGTTTTGGTGTTTTTTTAAAAAATAGCAATTTCATGGCATCAGTGAGACAGCTGGAGGTGGAAGCGCAGAGAGAGACTAGAGCAGACAAGGAGGAGGAGGCAACCTTTACATAACTGCACAGAGATCTGTC